TATATGTAACATATGCTTATTAAATAAAATTGTTAAACATCTGAGATATTCTACGGTAGTTCTGGTGAAAAAACATCGTGGCTCACGACGTTTCGAAATCGTCGTCGGGTTGACCAGAAAATACGGGTCCGGTCATACAAAAAGGTCTAGCAGGTACTCAGCGGGTGGTCTACCCGGATTTTAGCGCTAGTCTGCGGAACGAGTCGACGGGCCCTTCTGAAGCCCCCGTGCTTTTACATGGGTTTCCCTATACTTTCAATTTTCTCCTACGGTACTGTAGGCTCGGCCGGGGCATCTCTCGAGTCAAAAATTTCACCCCCTTCCACGTAGTATTCTCACTACGGCTACGGTAATGGGAACAGGCCTTAAAGATGGTGTGGATCGGAGCGAACTTCTTCCACACGGTTCAGTATACACGGGAACGCATTGAGATGCGCAGAACGATAAAAAACTGAACTGTGCCCGAACTCTCCTAGACTCTCGGGACCGCAAGTATAGAATAATCTTCGTGTTATACTTCATTTTCTCCAAAATCATGTGATAGTCGTGCGGTGCAATAAAGATTGCAATGCTAATTCTTGACAGTGATTACTTAACCTGGGATATTTAATAAAAGAATAAGAATATAATATATGGCAGCACGTTGTCCACGGATGAAGCGGTCGGATCTAACATCGCTGAGTACGTTTCTAAACACGATGCAGGTTCAAATAAATGGAACACGTTCGGGATCAGAGGTCGTGCGCACGAGCGTCGTTTCACCAAGATGCGAGAGCCCTACGTTCGTTCGATTTTTAAAGAGATTCTCTAAAGTCTTAGCACGAGCTAACACCGGGACAGATACAGAGCAGACGATAGAGCAGGATTATGTACAACCATGCGCTACTCACGGCCGGCGTTCAATAAGTCGTTTCCTGCCTTTACGAATACGTATACGCGTGCTACTGTGTATTATGACGTATAAATGGTACCCGAGACCAGTCGCTTAATTGCCGTCCGGCTAATTAATAGTGAATATCATTTACTCACGTGGGACGTGTCCGACACGGTGGTGTCCTGCGTCCTGTAAATACCGATCGGGATCTCGCAAGTGGTCGAACACAATTTCTGATACAATCTACCGTACGTCCTGATCCACATGTCATCCTTCGTGATTCTCATCTGCAATTAAACGAATCGGATAGAGTCGATTAGGTGATGATGTGATCCACTGGAAAAATTTGATCCACTAAACCTTTAATTACCGTTAATTGGAGATGGGATTAAGGTTGTATCTTACATAAAAACAATGAAAAAGCATTGAAATTTTAACAGTTACTAAATATTACAATGATAAAACGCTGTACAAAATTTTAGGAATTTTGCGAGGCTAGTGAAAAAGTTATTACATCTTGAACTCTCATGTCAAATGACTATCCTCTTTTACAGGAGGGATTCGCAAATGTTTCATAGATAGGGTAAATATTTGTATATGTCTGCGCCTTCGACTCGTCGGCCATATTAGAAGTACGATGACCTATTGTTCAGTCCGAACACGCATATATATTACACTCCGAGAACTTAATTTTTGACATGTTTACGATTTTAAAATTCGCTCAGTTTTAATATAAAGCGTGATTGGTCAGAACTCAAAAATGGCCAACGAGTGGGAGGGTCCGCGATTAGTTGTTCAAATCGATGCGCAAGAACACACCTTATGTTTTATACATCATGGGTATATCTATACGTATAGGCCACACATCCTTAATAGGTTCTAAGTTAAAATGAGTCTCCAAAGGAGAAAGGGAAAATCAATTGAGGGCCTATCTAATGCAAGGCGCTGAGAAAATCTAAGTAGGTTTCCTTCAAGGTTTGTAATGAAAATGGGACTGACTGATGGTTCCATTGCACAATAGAGTATCATAAATCGTCGAACCAGGTAGTGCTTGAAGTGTGTCTTCGAAGGAGAAAGGGAAAATCAATTAAGGGTCTCCCTAATGCCAGGCGCTGAGAAAATCTAAGTAGGT